GAGCTGTCTCTTATACACATCTAGATGTGTATAAGAGACAGGAGAGAGAGAGAGAGAGAGAGAGAGAGAGAGAGAGAGAGAGACAGGGAGACAGTTGTTGCAGCGGAGCGTGGAGCGCAACGGAGCGTGGAGCGCAGCGGAGCGGCGGCGTCGACTAGACGAAGGCGGAGCAGCGCAGGATCGTGCGCGGCGATGGCTGCGAACCCGCACGTGTGGTCCCGAATGACGCCGTTGAATTTTTAATTCAACGGCGTTAAACGCGATTTAACGCGTTTCAACGCGTTTGAACGGCGTTAAACGCAGTTTAACGTGCGGGCCCGCGATGCGTTCGTGATGGTTCGGCCGACAGCGCAAGGGTTCACGCGAGCGGGGGAGTCGGTGGGGGGTGCTAGACGGGGGACCCTGAGGCGGGCGGCGGTCAAGGAGGGTTGGATTGCAGGGGTGGGGTGGGGGAAGGGGGACCCTGCGGCGGGCAGCGGTTAACGGGGGTTGGGTTGCAACGGTGCGGTCGGGGGGAGTCAGCGAGGGTTGTCTCGCCAGGGTGGTCGAAATGGGGAGGGCACAGCGCTGTCAGCATGAGGCTGCCGCGGACCATGTGCAGGACACATTCAGGGTCCGCTCCCCTGTCTATCGGTGCCTGGTTGTCGGCCAGAAGGTCGACAACAAGGGGGTCATGATGCTTCGTTGCACGTTTTGCAACAAAGTTTTCAAAGGGACCCAATTTCAGGCCACGAGGCACTTCTCGCAGACGAACTCCTGCAAGGACGTCAGCGACGAGGCATTGTACGAGATCGCTCGACGGAGTCGATAGAAGTTCGAGGCCGATCAGATGGAGAGGGTTGCCAGGTATGCAGTGGAGCGCGGACTCGATGTGCCCGGCATGGGTGGTGCAAGGGGAGGAGAGGCGGGGCGGCATCCGGTGGAGGGAGGGGTCGGGGGAGATGGTGGGCATGGTGCTGCAGACCCCACTTTGGGTGGTGGAGGCGGTGAGACGGAGGAGGGCGTGATCCACGCCGATCGCGAGGCGCGTGGCCCGGGCGAAGAGGGAGTCCCGGAACGGGAGGAAGTGCCAGAGTTTTATCCAGGCACTGGGGAGAGGTTGGAGGACTGGCGGAGGCGAGCAGGCAAGGGAGCTGCAACGGAGGGGTCTTCCAAAAGGAAGGAAGGAGGAAGTGATCCGGCTGCCACCCCAGCAGGGAAGAGGCTTCGCCAGCAGAAGGTGACTGATGTCTACGGTGGCGAGTGGGTTGCTCGCCACAAGAAGGCATTCCTTCGCTGGCTGTATTCCAGCGGGGTCTCCTTCAATGCCTTCCGCAACCAGGCTTGGAAGGCATATCAACAGGTGCTTCCTGAGCAGCCTGGCAGTTCCCCGCGCGCAGTGCTCACCAACCACTACGAGATTGCGAGTATGCGGGCGGTGGAGACCCACCGTGCGGAGTTGGCGGAGGAGTTGGAGGAGGTGAGGCAGCCATTCTGGGTGACTGGTGCCACCCTCCTCTCCGATGGGAGGAAATCACGAGACGGGAGACCGATCGTGAATTTCCTTGTTGCTGGCTCTCGAGGGGTCGTTGTGTACACGACGATCAATCGAGAGGGCGAGGCGGACGATTCAGTGCACGTCCTTCGGAGATGGGTTACCATCTTCCACGAGTTCAGCTTCGGCGGGCCGCAGCGGATCAATGCGATATGCACTGACTCCGCTTGAACGCTTCTGCCTATGTGGGGGCTGCTAGGGCATTGGCCTCGTCGTCCATGCCTCCTGCACTAAGGAGGATCACTTGGCTCCCGTGCTCCATCCATGTCTGCAACAAATTGTTGTCAGACATGGGGACGAGTTGCGACGCGTTTGTGGACGCGATCACACGCGCTCGTGTGCTGGTGGTGTTTTTCAAAACCCACCAGACCGCCCTTCATTTTTTTAGGACGCGCAGCCCTGACAAGGGGCTTATTCTTTCTTGCGAGACGCGGTTCGCGTCTGTTTACTTCATGCTAGAGAGGCTGTTGGCCCTGCAGGACATGATGCGAGGGGACGACGCGCGGGCTTTTGCTTCCGTCCCGTGGTCCGCCGATGTGTGCGTCATGGCGCGTTGGGTGCGCCGACAGATCAGATGGGATCCATGGTGGCAGAGGGTGGCCACCATCGTCCATATCATGCAGCCTGTCATGGAGTTGCTCAGGCGGATGGATCATGGAGGACAGTACATGTCCCTCATGATCGAGTGGACGCAAGATCTTGTCCGTCGTGTCACGGATGCATGCGCCCCTTTGGGGAAGTCGTTCGCTGACCGGATCATCAGGCGTGTGCAGGCTCGCACACCGCACATGCTTGAGCCGGCTCACTGCGCAGGGTTCTTACTGAACCCCTGCAAGCGACACGTTCGCTACTTTTCGGGGCAGGTAGAGCGGTACGATGCTTGGCTTGTGGGGCAAGCCAAGAGGTACATTCTGACGCAGACGGGATTCGAGTTGGAGGGTGCGGAGTACATCCTTGCATGTCGGCAGTTTGAGGACTTCCACATTCAGCAGGGCAGTTTCGGGGATTGGGGCGGGCCGGAGGGGCGTGCTCGTGGGCGTGCGTGCAGTGGCGACAGCGAGAAGATTGAGTGCGCGTCTTGGTGGTCTCAGTTCGGGTCGGGCGCGCTAGAGTTGCAGCGTTGCGCTCTTCGGGTGATGCACATGTGGTCTTGCGCCTCTCCAGCGGAGAGGAACTGGGCAGTCCACGAGGGCATTCACACGAAGAAGTGCAACCAGTTGGCCTTCGAGAAGGTCGTGCACTTGTTGAGATCACCGCAAATGTAAGGTTGACTGAGTATCGGCGGGCTGGATGCAGTTATGTGCTGCCATGGCAGCGGGCATGCTGGATTGCCAGGCAGGACTCGAGTTGGAGCCTGTGCGCTCGGGGACTCGTAGGGGGATGACGGAGGAGGAGATTGCCCGTCAGGTTGCACTTATTACCCGAGATCCCATCGGGGCGTCCGCACCACCCTCGGCTGATGCCGTTTTCGATAGACGTGCTTGCATTTTTCGTCCCTACCCCAGGGAGGACGACTCAAACGAGGAGCCGATACCTGAGGCGGCAGATGAACCTGCGCTCCACATTCCCCGGGAGATCGACGAGACGCACGAGGATCCCGACTCCGAGGAGACGAGGGCACACACTGCACAACGGGTGACGGACCGGGCGGAGAGGGAGATGCTGGGGGGAGACGAGGACTTTTGGGGCCCATTAGGTGAGGTCGCTTCCACGGGCGGCCCAGAGGCGCAGGCGACGACCCCCACTCCTACGAGGCGGGATTCATCCATGCCGCCACCTCCTGCTCCGAGTCCTGCACCACCATCGCCCGTCTCGCCACTTCAGCCGGCCACGGCAACGGCGGACAGGGAGGAGTTGGGGTCCTCTTTGCCTCAGCGCGACCTTCTCCACAGAGGCGGGGCAGTCCGGCAGCTTAGGTTACGATCACCTTCCCTGGGGATATTGCAGGAGGAGGGGGCACCTTCGGCAGCAGCAGTGGAGAGTTCGGTGGCACCAGCAGCGGTGCCGGACGCGACGATCGCAGCCGCGGTGGAGGAGATAGCAGCAGCAGCAGCAACATTAGTGCTGGAGGAGATGGCAGCACCAGTGCTGGAGGAGGATCCACCAGCGGCAGGAGGAGGTGCAGCAGTGGAGGGGCAGGTGGCAGCAGCAGGAGGAGCAGGTGGAGGAGCAGCTGCAGTGGAGGTTGAGGTGGCAGCAGCAGTGGAGGAGGAGGAGGCACCGTCGGCAGCTGCAGTGGAGGAGGAGATAGCCGCACAGGCCGAGGTGCAGCGTGGGGGCGATGACGAGCGCCTCATGCAGCAGTTCCTCACGGAGGAGCTCGATCCGGTCATAGCGGGTATGACCCCGGGTGTGGCGAGGGGGTTTAGGATTTCAGATTCGGAGATGGGGACCCATATAGACTTAGATTTGTCGATGGGCCTTCCACCTAGTTGCGGCGGGGCGACATCGACGGACTGGGCTCCATCGAGGGACGAGGCGCCAAGACAGACTTCGACGCAGACCGCGAGAGAGAGGACGACGACTGAGTCTCCAGATGCAGCACGCGACATCATGGAGCGAGAGAGGGCTAGACTTTTGGCATCGACTGACCCGCGTGCTCAGGCGTTCGCACGGCCCGTAGAGGAGGCCAGGCGTCGAGAGAGAGGGGGGGATTGTATGCAGGGTGGGGTGGTGGCGGGGGAGGACGTTGCGGAGGGAGTGGCAGCAGAGCCGGTACCCGAGGCTATGCCGGGTGGAGCAGACGCAGCGGATGTTGCTGTGGAGGGACGGCCTCAGGCGGTGGATGAGGCCGTGCAGGCAGGACAGCGGCGAGTCGAGGGGGCTATAGACGCACAGCGCGAGGTCCAGACAACGACGGGTCCAGTCGTTCCGTTCTCGGGCCTGCACTTGGCTCAGGCCCGACATCCGCAGGCGGTTCAGATGGCAGTGCATGGTGTGCCACCGCCCGTTATCACGGATTTGGGGTCCGAGCCGGTGGTTGTGCCCCCACGTCTTCCTAGCCACTTTGCTCCGCAGGAGGTCCGTCGTCCTTTGGATGCAGAGGAGTTGGTGAGAGAGGCTGTGCGCGATGTTACTCGCTTGGACCGGCGGATCTTCGACCGGAGGCTCTAGCATCCACCATGGCAGACGATCCCTTCGGTTCCATGGGGTCCTGCGTCGCCCGTGTGGTCTGGGTCTACCTCCACGGGAGGACATACCGCGGGACATGTTCCAGGGGTTTCGGGTGGCGTGACGGAGACAGCGCCACACACAGGAGACATGCCACCCCCTCCTCCTAGAGCACCTGCAGGTGATCCATCATCGTCGCCCACAGGCAGAGGCTCTCGATCCCCACACGCGCCTGGGATATCTAGGATTCGTGACACGACGGCAGTTCAGCAGGACGTGTGTGACACGACGATATTCGGGAGGACAAATATAGATTTGGATTCCACCCAACGTGTGACGGAGCACACTACACGCCTTCAGCCGGGCTTGGGAGGAGGAGGCGTCAGGACGACCGCGGCGAGGGAGGTACCGGGATCAGGTTGTGAGCCTCAGCGAGGTCGTGGCAGAGGAGTGTCCACCGATACCTTGGAGTACGCTATGAGAGCAGCGACGCGTGTCGTTGTAGGGGCCGTACCCTGAAGGACTTTCGAGCCTTGGTTGACCCCACTGCGGGTCCCATTTGGCTCGACCCGCCCACGCTCACGCTCAGGGCGCGGGTCGTTCGTCCCAGGGGCACCCCCACCTAGTGCTATGAGATGGGTGGGGATGGGCCACTTGCGAGAGGGCTTTACATTAGGGGATGTAGCTCCGCTCTCGCGTCAAGATGGTAGCCCTTTGGTCACTCGCGGCGTTTTCTCGATTCAATTAAGTCTGACCAAGCAACTACTCCTTCCAATACACAAGTAGTCCAGGGAGTTCGTTGAGGATTCGTCTTCTTGTCTCGCGCAGGCCAAGCGTCATTCATTGGGCCACGCACCTTTTCACTAAGTCTGGTGGCTCAAAACAGCCCCTACGGCATCCTTGGGGTGGGGTGGCATCGCCCGGACCCCTAGCCGCTATATTTTTTTTTGCTTGAGCCACTAGCATTGCATTCACCTATCCAAGACTGCCCTTAGTCCTTTCGGGCTTGCGTTGCATTCAAGAGCGTCATTGCATTCAATCATCATACAAGCCACATCCAGGCGTCTACCACTCATCCAAGCATCCGACCATCAAGCCCATCCTGCATTCACAGTTTAAGCGAGGTCTAAGTCCTTCCCTCGTCGCTTTCCGTATTCCCACCCGCATCCTGGCGGACGCAGTTCCGCTTGGACCACCCTATGCTACTCACCTGCGCAAGACCACACAGAGCAAAGGCCAAGTACAATCCCCATTGGGGTCAACACATCGCCCCTCCCACAAGCCTAAGTTTCATTTGCCTTTGATGATCCTTTGGTTTTCTTTCCCTTCACTCAAGCAAGCCATGCCTTCACATTAGTCATGCAGTCGGGGAAGATGGTTGAGTCAAACTAACCTCGTCACAAAAACAACACTCCTTTCCGCTTTCACAGATGTTCCCAACAGCCTGGTATCCTTTCCTTCCTGGTGGCACAAGGGACCGGCAACCCTTCCCTTGCCCTCGCTTTCCACCAAGTGAGGACCAAATTCTTTCCCGTTCGTCCCCTGGCAATGTAACAGGCGAGGGTAGAGGTTAGTCACATGCCATGGACGGGAAGGAGTGAGGAAAGAGGTAAGGGTTAAAGAGTTCGAAGGAATGGGGGAAGAGGGAGAGAGAAAGAGACAGAGGGGGAGGGAGGGAGAAAGAGAAAGAAAGAGAGAGAGAGAGAGAGAGAGAGAGAGAGAGAGAGAGAGAGAGAGAGA